GTAGGTGGTATGCAACTTTGTGCCAGAAAACTGTATGGATAGTTGTATATTCACAGTCAAGAATTCTTTAGCAAACAAAGTGAAAATTACGCTATAAATAATAGTTTTCTTTAGCTTGAGTTTCAAATCCTTGTCTTAAGCCTTACAGGATATGCCAAGCAGCTATCCCACACTTCACTTCATCTTTCCTCCACCACAGAGTCACTGACACTTCTACCTCAGTCACCACAATGGTCATTCTCAGAGTAACTCTTTCTCCCTGGCTTTTCATATTTTTATTGAAAAATTCAGATTTTAATGGTAAAACAATGAAGATATTTGTTGCAGAAATAAGATGTAGCAATCAGAGGGCTGCCATGAAAAAAACCTGAGCTGTCAAGTGAGCTCCAAGACCACACTACAACAGCTAGCCTGACAGAGTACGTAGGAAATGGAGAAGACTAATAATTCAGCAAAAGATACTGAGACTCCACAACATTGCAGAGTATCGTCTGCAGGTTGTGGTCAAAGGGTTAAAAAAAGGGAGTGGAGAAAAGGAGGGGGAAAGGGAAAAAAAGTATTCAATTGTTTTCAGAGTTGTATCAGGTTTGGCACCGCAACAGCTGTGCTCTACCCTCCATTACACAGTTTCCTGCCTATGCAACTCCCAGAATCTAACCAGTTGCCTTTTTTGGCTATAATCAGGCAGGACACAGAAGCAGTATGCTTCAGCTAAATTCAGTTTCATCATTTCCTGAGGAATCCTAAGTAACCAGCCATCTGAAGTGTCCCACATTACACTGAAACATAGTCCTTAACTTCCTTACTGTTAAGAGTACATGCATTCAATACACCTTGGAGATTTAATCTGGGATAAAGACTAATTCTTTTTGGATAAGAAATACTTAAAACCACAAAAAAAAAAAAATCTTTCAAGGGATATCTCCAGACAGTTCTAGATCTGAAGAGAAGGAAAACAGATAGCTACAGAGAGGTTAATCAAATTCCTCATAGGAGGAGAACTCCAAAAAATATCTCATACAGCAAGACTGCACTCCTCAGGCAGTAAGAGATCATTCTATAGCATCTACTCCTTTTTATTCCCAGGACTTAAAACAACGACCTTCGCAGTAAGAAGAGAAATGGCCTAACACAGCTACTCTAAAAATCACACCAAACACTAAGTTTTTTTCTGCCAGAACTACCAAATAGCAAGGAAATTCAAAGACGGTCTGCCCCTCAAATTTTAAACAGACTTGAAAATTTCACTACTGCATGGCAGCAGCACACAGCCTTATTATCACCATCTCAAACTAGTTTTCATATGCTCCAGAACAGAATCATCTGGTACTAGAACTAAAAAACTGGAGGATCATGCTAAGGTAACATAGTATTAGTGCTATTCTTGAGGCTGACTTCTAACCCACAGGGCCTCTAAACCAGCAATACCACAGACCAACCATTAATTTGCTTTCTCCACAAGAACAGTACCAGAGGAATCAGATTCAGCAAGTTCCATCTCATGGGCTCCAAAACTTATCTTCCTAGCTTGTGTTGCATTTCACTGGGCATTTCTAAAAACCTCTTAAGTGGTCAAGAAAGTAAGCCCAGTAAGCTCTTGCAGCCTGACAGCAACTTGCAACAAATGCAAGCCATTACCACTTTAGGAACAAATTAGGAAGCAATTTGTTTGCTTAGTAGTTTGCATTTTGGATGTAGATAATTATGTAGGGCAAGGACACGTATCTTTACATGGCTATTGTGCAACCGTCAGATGAGAACACTGTTAATATTTTTTGATGCAACACCAGTCTATAGGCAAGACAACCAAGAATACAGAAGAAAGATCATCCTTCTTTTGAGTTTAAATGCCTCCTTCCTAGTATTGTTTCCAAAAATGAAATACTACGGTCATTTCCTTGTTAACCCAGTATGCTCCCTTATTGTGGTTCACAGCAGTCTGAAGAACAGGCTGGTGAAACGTTTCTTCTTTTCCATTATTCCAGGTGCCAAAAGACATTCTTTTGCCACTTAACTAACTACATAGCTGCCACAAAGATGCCATACAGTTACAGATGGAGGCAAGGCGATCTCGATAAGTCATGAATAGGATGGAATCAAGACATTAATAATATGTAGTCCAACCTTAGAAAAAACTCCAAGAACCCTTTACGTAGACATTTCCCTCAAGATTCTTTTGAGATTAACAAATTAAACACTGGCTTTAAGTTAAGATGCCATGCATTACCTTTGAACTAGGCAGAATTACCCAAAACCCTCACTGGAATACAATCACATGGACAGAATTTTGCCTCATACAATTTCACAGCCTTAAAGCTTGAATTAGGAGATGCTTCACGCTCCTCTCCCTACTTAAAAGCATCAAGTGCTTTCCAAAAACCTGGAAATAAACACCTTGTCTGGCTTGGAAAGGTCCAAAAGCTGCCTTGGCTATAAGGTCCTTCCTTTTGATTACAGTGTTTTGCAAGTGGTAAAAGCATAGAACATTATCTGTTTGCAATTTAATTTTCCAGAACTACTTGTATTATCCCCCCCCCTCCATGTTTACTTTGTCAGCACCACAGAATTGTTTCTGGGACTGAGCCACTGCTCACTCAGATGAGCTTGGGCTATACTAAACTATCGAGGTAACAGCTGAGGTAGAAACTGAATTAATATATTCAGAAGGGCATTAGTGGCAACAGTTAAATCACCACACTTAGTAACAAGGATTAGAGCACTAGCTAGGAAAGGAAAGCACTTTTAGTTTGAGTTATCTAAACTGCCATTAAAGTACAGATCCCCACACTGTTGTTCTTAGGCTTCAGCCTCATTGTTAGCAAAGATGCATTACTACACTGGAATAGACAGCTTTACTCACAAACCATTTCCCTACTTGAATGAGTTATGACAAGTTTGTGAACTGCTGGGCCACAGAGAACACAAAATGGCCAGTTACATGTACTGTACGCTTGCTGATTCGGATCACCATTTCAGATCTTCGCTATAAGACTGAGCCTGTGTGAAAAGGGACGTATGTACGTAATTACCAGAAGTTTTCTTCTGCTTCATATACACCATTAAGGCAGTATTACAAAAACTTTCTGTGATTTCACACAAAATGATCCCCCCACATGGTTTGCCTAGTGGCCTTCATGCTAGCAGTGCAAGAGGAACTACCCTAAAGACCAGGGTGACAACGAGAAGGAATAGCAAACACGTTTAGACTAAAACAAGTTAATTCCCTTTGTTTATACAGTTCACATTTTAAAAGTATTTCAGGAACACAATTCTCATGCCATTTTCCAAACTGGCTTACCTTCAGCAGGTTGTGAGAGAATGGCATACAAGACAAAAAGCCCTTTCCCAGAGCAAAAGGAATGTACACCATTTCCACAGGCAAGACAAGACTTCTACACTAGAAAATTACAGCGCTACTGGACACTTACAGTCTAATTTCAGCTACAACTAAATTGTCCTTAGTGAAGAGACTTGATTCTTTGTTAATACACAGCATTTAAAAAATAATCTGACTTTGAGAAGCAGCTAATGATTCAAACTAA